ACAAAAACGACCTTTTTATCTTCTAAGGAACAACTAAGATGCACAAAATCAGAGAGATATAAAAAAAGTAGAATGCTCCCTGTGGAAGGACGGTTGTTCACTAGGACCCCATGGGGGCAGAGCACGCCACCATCAGGCTCTCCTCCTCTCCGCTGCCGCCTCCAGACCTCACTCAAGTAGCGTAGTCGGTCCGCTCTGCCATACGTGTGTTTCAGAAGCAGAAACGCAGTGATACTAGTTTTTAAAAACCTTATTCACATGCTTGTTGAGAAACATTTAAAATATGTTAAGTGCTCAGTGCCTTGTAGATGCTGTACAGAGACAAGTTACTACTAATCATTATTTTACTTGGCTGAATCTGGCATGTATGTTTTCAGAGATACCTCTGAAATGCCTGATATGTAAGACCTTAACTAAAACTAACAAACAAAAAAAAATCTGCTGCAGGTTTTACTGGCAGGAGGGACAAATGAAAGGAAGAGGGTGGCAAAGCAGTGCAGAGATAATGTTGCGTTTAAAGTAAGGAAGGATAGAAACATTTTGGCTGACACAGCAGCAAAGTCAGCTTGGAGGAGAATTAAGGACAAGAGAGGTAATCATTTACCAACGCTGTAGTTTTCAGATGTTGACAGACATTTTCAGACAACAAGGGAGAAAACCCCCACAAAACAGATAAGAGAAGACTGTCAGAATTACAACAACTTGCAGCTTCTTTACCTGGCTGCTAGTGAGGAAAATAGACAGGAAAATCATCTGAAGATTACGCTTCCTTGAGTGCTCCCATTTCATTTTCATGAGTATTAATACAGGCTACATATTGACATTGACGAGCAAAAAGATCCTTGAGGAAGGGAAGCACGTGTTTCCTCATGCAGACATCTGAACAGCTTACAGTCAGAGGCGACTCTGGATTTGAGAGTAGGAAGTGAAGCCTCTATCAAAACCAAAGTGGAAGCATGGGGCATCTGGGGTTTTGTGATCATGGTTTCATGAGGGTCTAAATGCTCTTTAGGGCGGGAACACTGCAAGGAGTTCAGAAACGTTTTTGACTCTAAGAAAGCTGACTTTGGGAAAATGTGATATGCCCCAAGGAATTTTTACTGGAATCCTATGAAACACGGGAAACATAGAGCCGAATTTTTAAAAAACATCTGAAAGGACTGAAATTTAAAGCCGTCCTGCTTAATTCCAAGGAAGAAAAAAGGGTAACTGAGGCTAAATATAGTTAAGACGTAAAATTTAGTGTAAGCAACACATAGAAGACTTGGGAAATTTCTTTCATATACATATATATAAAAATATATGTAGATAATTATATAGAACAAACAATCATTTGAAAAGTAAACAACCTGTTACGGACAAATACAGAACCTTTTAGGAATTAAAAAGAACAGTTTTGAAGAAATATTTTCAGGAGGATAAATGACACTGCCACGAATACTTTCTCCTAACCAGTACATGGAATTTCGTTTCTGTCAGTGCTAGAAAGGCATGGGAGAAAAATCCGTGATTGCTTAAGGCCTATAGCCGAAGGAAAAAGTTGGCAATTTCACATGCCCTTTTTTCTTTGAAGGAGAATAATAAGAGGCCAGATGACTGCCCAAATATTAGCATCATATTGTGACAGAATTTCCAGGAAGAAAATTTGCATTCATGTGTGTACATCCTCAGAGTTACAGCCCTGGCAGCTCACAACAAATATGATGCACGAATCCAACCGGCCGTTCCTATCCTAGGCAAGCTGTGGGGCAACTGCTGAAACAGGTGGGAGGGAAGGGGAAGAATTCCCTGTAATACATGCAGAGCATTAGATTCAGCAAAAAACCCCAACATTTACATATGGTTGAAAGGTTTCTTTTTTTCTTTCCTTTTAAACAGTAACATAAACTCCTAACTGAGAGATATATACATTTTAAATTCTGTGATGACAGGACAGACCAGTGAGACCTGGAGTTAATCTTCACTGTTGCAGGAATAGGCAATGAAATGAGGCAAGCTCCTATACAACTGTTAACTTAATATCTGCTGTGCAAAAATAATAGAGGCAATTTGACCCAAACACCTTAAAGGGCATAATTTGATTAGAAGCAATTGTGCAATTCTTGGAGGGAAATTTCTGCATACAAATTAATAGCAATTACCTTGCTGAAAGATAAGAAAATTAAAGGCAGGCCCTAATTCTCTAAAAATTACCCAAGTTCAGGGGTTGAGAGACTTGATGCTTCTGACATCCTGTGCTGCAGGGCTGCTTGTTTCCAACTGACTGAGGTGGCTCACTGAATTTCAGTTTTAACTTTTAAAAAAGAAATTTGAAATAAATTTTAATATTATTTTTGTGAGCACCAAATAGATTATTTAAATTCAAGTACAGACTAAGCTGCCTACCTACAATATGAACATTCTCATTAGAACAGAAGTAGAAAAGACTAGTGAGATAATTTCTGAAGTATCTACATTTTACAGGAGATGAGAGACAGGCATTAGAAGCATTAGCAGGAACAATTCCAAGGCCAGTAAATATCAGGGGGCCCCAAAGGAGTCAAAAGTAGAGTGAAGAGATTTAGAGTCAAGGCATTCAAAGGGTCTACTTAGTCTGACCAGAAGACAGTCTCACATTTCAAGGTTTCTTCTTCAGTACAGCTAAGCTTTTTCAATGGGAGGCCTTGACCCCAGGGATCACTAACTGAAGAAAACAAACGTGTTTTCAAATTAATGTATTGGCACTGTCAGAACTGACTGTAGACAAGATTAAACGATATTTATTTTCACTTTCCAGAATACCATGTTAAAATTTAGAGAGACAGACAGAAACGTTTCCAAATAAGACATGAGAATCTGAGCATCAGATTTTCTGTGTCAGCTGGGATTCAACAGTGGAATTCCTGTTAACTGATCTGGCTGAGCCTCCTTCCAAAATGTCAGCCTGAGGCTTTCTTGCCTTCAGGAGTCTTGGTGAGGGTGGTGGAAGGGCACACGTGACATCAGTCTGCTTCAGTCCTCTCAATGCCTTTTCTCACTTTATTGTGATGGATTGGATTTCGTTCTGGCATTTTGGAATCGCATAGATGGGATTCCCTGACTGAAACAAACAAAAGTTTTCCTGCCTTTGATAACAAACATAAAAAAATAAGGAAATAAAATCAGAATAAAAAAATTAATTAACATGATTCTGGGTACCCATGCTGAGATGTTTTAGAAGAGAAACTTTGATTGCAGAAAGTGGATGCCACACCTCTTCACAGAGGAGTTTGCTCACAGTTCATCTGCATATTCCTTAAAACAACAGTACTTCAAACCCCATTTTGTGCTTCTACCTTCATCATGCTTGGGCAGCCTCACAGCCTTCTTGGGTTCCACAAGAACCAAGCAGGGACTGTGTTTAACACAAGGCAAGATGGGGACAGTGAAAGAGACAGGTGGAGCCCAAGGGAAGGCCGCCTACAACAGACCAGGTAATTCAGGCATGAGATGTCTACTGAGTTTATAGGCAGTGTTGTTTTGAGGGCACAGGACACTATTGGAATACATCTCTATACTCATGTATGGACCCACTAGCAATTGCATAAGCATTCCTGAAGGACTGTCCCAAAATAGACATGCAGATAGTGAGCTGAACTTAAAATCCAGAAGTTGTGTTCCCAAAAGGAGACCAGTAAGGGCAGAGAGGAGACCACAGACACCACTATTCCAGCAGAAAATGTCCGAGTGCATAAATAAGGCGCAACTACAGTGAGGGCTTCAGAATAGCTACATACTACCCATGATTTTTGAGGAGTGAATACTTGTTAGTAAGAGGTCTGACAAAGCAGGAAAGCGGGTCTCACAAAGCACAGACTTGTTGGGTCAAGTGTCCTTTTCCTGTTTGGCAAGTCCTTTTGTCTCTGTGTCCTCCTTATCATCTTGACACCTTACCAAAGCACAGAATGACAGACAACTCTTAATGACTTCCTAGCGTTTGATTCAGATACATGGGCCCAGCCCTTTTCTGCTATTCCCCTTTGAATTTCCACTTTAGAACCCACGTTGGCTTCCACACATGCAGATCCCTACTCCCACCCTGTGTTAAGACAAACATGTTCTCCTCACACCTTGCTTGGGTCAGGCAGGTGAAGGCAGCACTTCTGAACAGAGTGACGGCCGATGAGAACATCATCTCTGGGCACACCCACTCCCACATTGCACAACTGGGGCTATTGTTCCTTGCGTCCAGAAACCAGGCTCTGTCCTGTAGATCTTCTCTATGTGTTGCCACCATGCTGCTGGACTTGGAAACACTTATTTTTTCCCCTCTCCTAGCATGCTCATTAGGCGATTTGAGCACAGGAGTCAGCAGCTGAGTCCTGCTGTAGCCGTGTGCTGGTTGAGCACCCCTGGCAAACTTCACTGAGGCATTCCCAGAAGCGAAGATGTGCTCTGCAAATGTGCATCTACTGTGTGGATTCCCGCAAGGCACGCGAGAAAACAAAGCAAGTGAGCACTTCTAAAATGGGAGTTTTGTGGTACCTGCTGTTACAAAGATCTAAGCTGAGCAGGGGATGCTCACTGGATAGAGTTGAAACACTGTGATGAAGATACAGAAGGAGGTACTTTATAAAACAAGCCTATTAGTGCTCGTTTTCCTCTGCTTTCCCTTCTTCCATCTGGAGATGACCACAAAACCCATTCGAGACCAGAAGACAACACAGTGTGTTGTTTCCCGTAAGGTGATGCCTCACCTCCCTAAGCGTCCCCTGTCCATCCCATTCAGTGAGGGTGAGCAAAGCCGAGGAGCATCTCTGTGACAGGGCAGACTGTCTCCTTCCTGGCCAGGGCTGCCTACCTGCTTCTTCCCAGGCAGCTGACTGCGAGGGGGCCAGCAAGCAGGCTAATTTAAAGCTCTTAAAAGCTGGCAGCGGGAGTGCAATTAGGCCATTTTCACAGACTGCTGGCCAAATGCAGCAATTTATTGGCCGAGTGATTGGATTATTCATTTGCAAAGCTGCGAGAGGGCATTTTCTTACCACTTCAGTTGGTCTGTAGTACTTGTGATTGACGGTCACATGAATCTTGCCAGTCTCTTTGCATCGTCCTACTTCATTTTCATTCTTCCCTTCCCACCTGTAAAGAAGATAAACATTTAATCAACCCATAATTACTTTAGTGCTCTGATCTTACCAACATTTGGCCTGCTTTCATTTACTTGAGGCTGGTGTCAATTCTCCCTGCAAGACAGTATAAACTCATTAGCTATAGGAACAAAGGCAGAGTTTAGACTTGAATGGAGCAACAATGGCTTTTGAAGTCTCTTTGTTTTGGTTTTTGATTCAGTGGAAGGTCTGAAATGCAGGACTTCCAAATTAAACACATAATGCTCGGGAAAAATAAAATGTCCTGATTTCAGACTGTTTTATGTATCTGCAAATAAATATGACAGTGAGGTTTTTCATTTGTGGATTGGTTCAAAGCTGTTTTCTTAAAATATTTTTAATTCTTGTATTTTGGCCAATACTTTCAGGAACTCTTTAATCTGTTAATTTTATGGACATGAAGCTCTGTTTGAATAGCATTAGGCTGCATAATTTAATTTGTGCCTAACTAGGAAAAACAAAACACAGTTCTTGAGTTTTCAGTCCTAGCTCGACATGGCACTTCACATACATGCACCGTAAACAGCACTTACTACCTGTGAGCTGGAAGCCAGATCCTTTGTCCAAATCAGTTTCACATGTGTCGAACAGCCTGCAATTTGCTGTAATTTATGTGACCTGCTCGCACTGGGAACTATTTTGTTAGCAATTGTCGTGGTCTAAAATTTCAGGAGCAGCAGAAGAGGAAGGGTTTGGTGGGTGATTAGTTCTGGCTTTAGAGAGAGAACAACCTGCAGCCTGAAAGCCTGAGGAGAACGCTCCCTTCTCAAATCCAACACTTCAGGTGACATGTGTAGAAACATACATTGGTGCATCAAATCTAATCTACTGAATGGACAAAATCTTGAGTTATGATTGAAACTCTATCCTCTCTTTGCTTTTTGCCTCCAAGTGTGTATCATGAGGCTTAGCATAGCATAGCATAGCTTAGCATAAAGGCACAATGATGAAATCCTTCCCTTTTTTTTGTGTTTAAGTAAAATCTATGTAATTTTAATCAGCATTGTGATTTAAGCTATTAAATCTCAGTCACCAGCAATGACAGAAAAGCACCTCTTGCCTCCCAGTTATTAACTGTACTGCTAGCTCTTGGGATTTTGTCACAGATTTGATTTCTCCTTGATTCCCTGCCCCACCCCACCCCAAGCTCCTAGAAGAATTTAATTCTTTGACAATCTCGGCCTTCATTTTTGAGTTTGTAGCCCTAAGGGCTAAGGAAGAAAGTCTGAAAATGTGACCTCTGTGTACCCATGAAGGTTAAAACACCGAAAGGCAGAAGGAAATACCAAATATGCATTATTACTAGTTTTTAAATCCCACGATTTTTTAAGCACAGCTCATGACTTTTGGACAACTAGGCAAAGCCTGCAACATACTTGATACTGGAAACACTTCACATTGAAATAATTTCCAACAGATAATAGTCACAGTGAAGTCAGCTGTTAATAGTCATGCCATGATGCAGAAGATGATTTATAATTTAAATTTTCTTTCTTTCTTTCTTTTTTGCAGTTGCTCTGTTTGAAGCCTCAACTGCAAAGTTTTCATTCAGAAGCCAAAACTAACATTAGTCCCTCCCTCTAAAGGGCAGAGGGTAAAAATGTGCAGGACTCAAATGAGCTTAATAGAAAACTAACCGTCACCAGTAAAACAACAGGAAGCGCTTAGATCAGGAGACGTCAGTTGTTGTTGGAGGTCACTGAGCAGAGAACCCCATTTAACACCCAACAGGCTCCAGAAGGCTTGGCTGAGCCAGTAAAGACTCACTTAATGTCGCTATCAAAGTTATATAACAATGGAAAGAGCTTAAGGAGAAATCTCCACCCGTTTTGTTCAGCCCAGCAATGTGAAAAGTTCATAAGGGAAAAAAAAAAAAAAAAGAAGCACTTCTCATTGTGAACAAAGTAGCATTTGATAGTTGCACTTCTAATTACTTCTGGCACCTCGGTGCTCACAGCTGGGGACACCATACTGCTGATAAAAGGGACTATGCGGAGGCCAGCCTGACACCAGGAGCAAGACATCCATTTCACTGACCAACTCCCCGTCCCGTCTTCCTCTACCCACAAGCGAAGGAGAAGAAAAACTCACCCGCCAAACCCCTCCTTAATTTAATGTCAAATTATTCTGAAGCAGAAGCGTGGTGGAAGAGGCACTGGGAACCCTCAGGTTGCTGTGGTTTTAGGAAGCTCCAGCCACAAGGATTACCCAGCTTTCTGCTCCTTAGGGTGAATGCCCACATAGGCAAGAAAACAGCCTTGTGTAATTTGGGGGAAACGCAAAAGATTCCTGGCTAAAGGAAGTTTGGCTAATCAGGGCTGGGCTAAAATTTAGAGGATGGGGAACGGATATTCCCCCAACCCTCAGCTGGTGTCAAAGCCCAGGTACTTGCTTTTCACAAAATGCTGGTCCTGCAGCCTGCAGGCAACAAGCCTCTAGAGACCATCGCTTGCCCCACACTGGGGAGCTTCACCCTCGTGCTGAAGGATGAAGCTGAAGGATGGGTTTTTGCTCTCACGGCTGACAGCATCAACCATACATCGGAACACCCTGCACTTGGAGAAGGGTGCACAAGGCCACAAATCTGCTGATGACAAAGTAGGTTTGATGCCCTCTACATCTACACTTCCACGTCGAGTGCCTCACTGCTGCAGACCGGTGCTTAGCACCATGGCCACTGTCAGCTCCAGTGGATACTGCTACCATCACTAACCCCAGAAATTTCCATAAAAGCAAGTTAATCACATTTCAAAAGAATGTGCAAGTTTATTTGTTTAAAAGGTTCTTCACCTCGAGAACTTTTACACTTTGGATTTACAGAGGAATGGACGGTATTTAATTTAAGGCTAATTCCATATCTGCAGATCACTACTGTTATAATACTTAGCATCAGCAGTGATGAATGCTCCTTTTCCGCTTCAGCTCGGGAGATTCTAATTATTTTTAATTTCCTATTACTATTCAGTAAAACAGCAAGCTTCAAGCTATGAAAACATCCAGAGGCACAGAGGATTTTCTGAGGACAACGAGCTGGGGTTCTCACCTGGTGGGCTGTGAGGTGGGCAGGGAAGGACAGAGGGGAGTCAGGATAATTGAGGTGGGGTGTGGTGGGGAATAGCACCACAATGGACCAAATGGTCCCAATGGCTGTAAATGAGAAGTAAACAAGGCAAAGTCCACCTATTTTGAGGAGGTGAAGAAATCAACTAAAAAATAACCTTTTACAAAAGCACAGCAAAACTGAAAAGGTATATGCATTTCATCGCCTTGCTTGATCTTTACATAGAACCAGAAATGATAGAATTTAAAAAAATATTCAAACCCACTAGTAGCTACAGCTGTTCAGTCTCCTTATGGAAAATAAAACTATCACATATGCCTTTAAAATCAAATATGTGCCAATAGAAAATACCTTCACATTTGAAAATGAACAATAAATTAATTAAAAAAAAAGTTTTAGGAAAAGTTTGCTCTTTCTCCATAGCTAATAGGAAATACAATTTGTGTAGACTTCTTGGATTTGTGGTCTGATTGCTGCTACGCACACAATTAAGCCAAAGTACTTAGTTCCGTCCTGACACCTTATAAGCAGCAAAACTGACACCATATAACAGACCATTAATGGTTTTTGCAGGGAAGCTTTAAATACGACTCTTCATTTGTTCCTTTGCCACCAGCTCAACCACCAACCTTGCCAGCAGCTCTGATGTATCAAAGCAATCACAGAATCACAGAAGGTCAGGGGTTGGAAGGGACCTCAAAAGATCATCTAGTCCAACCCCCTGCCAGAGCAGGATCACCTACAGTAGGTCACACAGGAACGTGTCCAGGCGGGTTTTGAATGTCTCCAGAGAAGGAGACTCCACACCCTCCCTGGGCAGCCTGTGCCAGGGCTCTGGCACCCTCACAGGAAAAAAGATTGTTCTAATACCTTTGTGGAACCTCCTATGCTCCAGCTTGTATCCATTATCCCTTGTCCTGTCATTGGACATCACTGCGAAGAGCCTGGCTCTGTCCTCCTGACACTCTTCCTTGACATATTTATAAACATTTATGAGGTCACCCCTCAGCCTCCTCTTCTCCAAGCTGAACAGACCCAGCTCCTTCAGCCTTTCCTCATCAGGGAGATGTTCCACTCCCTTCATCATCTCTGTGGCTCTGCGCTGGACTCTCTCCAGCAGTTCCCTGTCTCTCTTAATCAAGAATATAGGGATTGCTTAACCATGATCTTGTGCTTAAATCTAAAGAATAAGTATGGTACCAGAGAGGGACGTACTTAAATATTTTTCAAATACTCTGATGAATCAGGCCTTCAGTGTTTCTTCACTAAAAGGAAACAATCAAAACAAAGCTATTGTTGTTACTACATACTACATTCTCAGCATTGTCAAGCTCAAGTTTCAAAAACCTAAGTTGTGATTTTTCACATTATGAGACTTTAAACAAGAATATGTTAGGCCCCCTATTTTTTGGATTCTTATTTTTCAGCTTATTGGAAAAATTTTGAGGCTCTTATTCTTTTACTCCAAATTGTGAAGAAAATGTTTTCTCAATGAATATTAATGCTTCTGTGAAAATCAAAACATTCTGGAAAGAGAAGTTTTACCTTCCAGTGAGTTCCATTATTGTCAACCTGAAAAAAGTTATATAAATAACATCAAAAAAAGATGCATTGACATTTTCAAAATGTATTTTTTTTCTTTAAGAATGGCTTAAAAAATTTCTTTCAAGTTATTTTTTCTTTAAAAGGAGGTTAAAAGAGAAAAAAAGCAGTTTAGCTGACCTGATATTAGATATTTTCCAAATTGCATTTTTGAAAATTACTTTCACTTCATTTGGAGGGAAAAAAAAAAGTGGAATTTCCCATGAAACATCACAGTTAATTCTCACCTAGTCTTCCTACAGGAGAAACTCTCATACCCCCTATGATGTATGAAATAATTAAATTTACAGTCCTCAAACCTTAGTTTGAGTTCTGAAACAGTTATTAGGTCTGCCTACAGATAAAATCTTGTATCAATAAGAAAGTAATAAAAGCCTGCTTAGCTGGAAGAGTTAATTCTCCAGCTGTGGTGGGTTAAATGCCCTCACTCCTCGACAGTGAGAATGGTGATGAGGACCTGGCTTGCGTGGGTTCACCCAGGCCAGCATTTTTGTCTGACCTGGTTGGGTTCCTGTCAGCCACCACGCTTCAGAATGCCTCCAATTTCTGTATGGGGTTCGGGTCCCTTCCTCCTCATCCGAAAGCTGCTGATTTTCCCGAGCTGTTAAGTACAACACGTAGCACTGGCCAGGCAGCCTTTTTTGGAGAGTAAAAGCCAGACCTGGGAACAAGCAGCTGTTTGGATGACGACTTTTGACGGCTCCTCTTTCACATCCCCACAGCGCCATTATTAACATACTATTGGCTTCTCATTCTCACAGCAATTATTCAGGTCTCGTATGTTTCTGTAACCCAACCATCCACTTTAAGGTAAAAAGAAAAAAAAACACACAACACAACAAACCACAAACCAAACTAGAAGAACTCTCCTCCCTCAGTTCAATCTCAGTTCAACCTTCACTGTCACTGAAGAGGCCACTGCTCCACTTCTGCTAGTAGTTCACCTCATTAGACCTTACAGCTTATCTGCAAACTTACCCTTTTTAGGGGATCTTTTATAAGACCAACTGGCACATTCGTTAAGATAAAATTTCTATGTAGAGCCAAATGACTAGAGTAAAACATACATTTTTACTGAATTAATTCTGATCCTGGAAGCAATGAATATTTCTATAACAAATGTGCATATATTTTCATATTAATAAAAAAATACAATAAATCTTTCCACCGCTTGAAGAGTTTATCCTTTTTTTTCTTCTTCCTTTTTTTTTTTTCTTTCCACATTTGCAGACAGCAGTCTTTGTAGCACTGTGCAAAGAACTCTGAGTGCTGTAGTGGTTTCAGGCTATCTTTGCAATCCTGTTCTAATTTAATAAGATTAATGACAGAAAATTAGTCAAGACAAGCGTTTGCCTGTTCCATTTACCCTGCTGTAGTATAGGCGGGAAGTGTTTCCCCCAAGTACTACTTAATTAGTAATAAGAAGAGAAAGTAAAAGAAAAAAAAGTGTAATCCTTACAGGGGAAAAATATTTGTAGCTCTGAGGCTTTCCTGTTAGTACAAAGGACTGAATTTGAATGATTCAGAGGACTATATAAATATAATTTGAAATTTCTCCCTTAAAAAGAAATGTCAGAAGAAACAAACCACACAAGGTAGATAAAACCTCTGTGTACACTTTACAGTCAGTTTTGGAGAGAGAATCAGTCTTATTGCAGCTGTACATTTCATTAGTTACAAAAATGTAGTAAAGTTTCTCTCTCTCTTATTTTGGCTAGAAGACATAGTCCTGACACGTGCTAATGACTGGCTGTAACAGAGTATTATGTTATCTTCTCGGAAAAACTTTTTAGGCTGTCCTGGATTTTCAGCTGCATAAGTTAATGTGAATTGTTAAGATGACAAAAACAAAAATTTTTTTTTAGTTGGTTAATGGAGCAGCCAGGACTGCTTTTCTTTCCTGTCCTCTACTGCAATATCAAGATGTGACAGCTTGGACTCCACTATGTTTGCAACTTTGCCTGCCAAAGCACAAACTAGAGATGGTTAAGAGCCCCTGCACATGCGCCCTGTGTTCTCAGATGCGCTCTGAGATCTGCCAGCTGCTGCTTGCCACCACATCCCTCCCGGTCACTTACTCCATCATTCCAGGAATTTTGAGAAGCGCATTGTGCAGCAACACTGGGAAGCTGTGCCAGCATGTAAGAGCAGTCAAAAGGGCTGCTGAACATCTCCTAGGTAAGTTTTTTGAGACAGCAAAACTTCACAAGACCTGCAACCCTGCAAAAAAACAAACCCAAACCTAACAAATCCCCCCCAAAACCAACACCTCAAACAACTCAACCAAACTTTGAGGAAGGGAGATAGGAAGAAAGCAGCCATCCTCACAGGAACTCATTTAACAATTCCATTCTGGCACGCTGGTTCTTAGGTGCCTCATAAATTGTAAAGAAACAGATCAATGGGACGCACCAGTGGGGTCCTGCAATGCTAAAAGGGAGGATTTTGCTGCCAGGTTTACTCCCTGAAGAAGATATATTCAAACTGGAGGAGGTGGGAGTAAAAAGCCCTTGGGGGTTTCAAAGAATGTGAGAGGTTACCAGCTGGCCGGCCGAGGATCCACAGAGGGTAAGGACAGAGAGTGTGCGTGCTGCAAGAGCATGGGCTGAGCTGACACCTAGAAAAATTATGAAGGTTCTTAACAAAACTTTCCAAATCCTGAGAAATATTTTACATCTAGTGCAATTTGAAAAATGAACCAAGGCTATGGGATGAGTAGTGGGTCTGTTGTGACACTACTCTCACCTTGGGAGCAGGGGGAACCAACGGCTGGTTTATCTGGTTGGACTGTACCTCAAATCAGCAGAATTACATCACTGCCAAAATGATCAGCAACAAAATTATCATTCACACCGAAAACATCCCCTCGGTCCCCATATGTATGACTTGTAAATGGCTTAAGGAATCAATAACTTACACACAGTGAAAAGAAAAATTCAGAAGAGCTATGGGGATTAATATACCAAGCCCCATTTCTAAAGTAATTTAGGTTCCTAAAAATCCACAGCACCAGATGTCATGTGTATTTGTACACAATTTCTGAAAATTAATTTTATTTATTAGTAAAAAAAACCCCAACAAACAACTATGCCTTTGTACGCACAAAATAACCCTCTTGTCCTACTTCTTCTCTTGGAGTCATATCGCAAAGTCTCTCTGAGAGAGGAACTTGTGCCTGACTGATTCAATCCAAACACTGACTGTAGTAATCGCCAACATAAATGATTGACAGTCCACCATATGGAGCATATAGGTGAGCAAGAAATTGAACAAACGGGACAGAAAATTTTGTGTGTTAGGACCAACTAAACCTAAAGTAAGCATTTAATATCCTCTCTGTAACAGAAGCTATTAATAAAAGTACTTTATTTGTGTAATTGTTGTTCGTCTGTTAAGTTTTTCTCAAGGGTTTAATTTTGTGTGTGTAAAATACATTCTGATGTGTCAGTCTTGGGAAATGCCAAGACTTCTTAGGCCAACAACAAAGCAGGGAGTTTAATTTTAAACTAATCGATATATTTATTGACATCAAGAGAAACTACAGTCTTGAGAACATCTGCAAATTAAGACATTCAGCTAAGTACTGACTTGTACATTTCAGTTCCTAATTTTAAGTAATCTTTTTTTTTTTTTAAAAAAAAAGCTTTCACTAAACATTCATTCTTGCCTTTGCAAACAACACTAGACAGAGACAAAATCACAACAATTGTTTTATGAAGCGACTGAGTCCACAAGGTATTTATACCAATGCTTACTGTGAGAATTAGCTTATAAACACAAGAAGCAGTAGTACAGAAAAAGGAGAAAAAATAAGAAAAGCAAAGCAATTACCAGAGCTCCTCTCCTACCTCCCCTTTACCCTGTCAAACCTCACTACTGTTAAGCCATATGGGAAAAAATGCGATCATACGGGGACATCTTGCTATCAAGAGATACTAAAAATACAGAGAAACTTATTCCCCAAACTGAGTTTTCTTCTGGAAGTTGATGCCAAAAATTGAAACCAGACTAAAAACTCATTGAGGAGAAAATGTTATTACCTCCCCAGCCACCCACTGGCTGTTCAAATAATATTGTATATATCTGTGCACTTCTGCATATTTATTGAATTTGTCAAGTTTTTGTTCCCAAGTAAAACTTATTGGCCCTGTCAAAAGTTCACCAGCTGCACAAGTGACTTTGATGGCCTGAGGAGCAGCCCTGGCTCTAGCGTCATGGAAGAGCCTGTGGCTTTCCTCTCCCTTTTCCAGCTGAGATCGGTATGTTGATGCATGGGGCCCAGAGAAGATACAGAAGGAGGGAAATTGAAAAAATAATAAACAATAAAAATATAAATTACAGAGAGCACTCACCAAGCCATCCTGGTTTTATTATAGGGCCTTGAGAAGGAATTTTGTATTTTCAATCAAACTATGTGGAATATGCATTGTAAACATTCTGCACCCACTGTTCAACATTTTTATGGCTTAGTCGGAGGAGAGCTAATAGGAATGAAGAGCGGGTTGCTGTATAACCCTTGTGGTGTGGCTGATGGGCTGTCACATGGAGAGAACAAGGTTGGCAGGTGTTACCTCTTGAGATGGCAGAGACTGTGGGGATCTGAGGGCACAAAATAGAGAATTGGGCAGACAAACCCTTTTTGCGGCAGGGCGATGAATAGCACCCCAGCACTAACATCTTCAGAGGGGTGTCTGTCCCCCAAGGTGAGGAGTGAATGGCAGAACAGGGAATGAAGTTTTGGAGTAAAGAATTAAGATACATCCACCTACAGTTTTTTCTTATGATCTAGAGGGCAACAGAAGACATAGCTGCTGTGGCAAACATTGATGCCCGGAAGGTCTCACATGTTACAAAATTAGAAAGCAAGGGGAAGAAAACAAAAGATTGGAGAGAACCAATACGCTGAAACACAGCAAATGCTAGAAGTGTTCAACCTGTGGCTGCAGCCTCACGTTCGTACTTACACGATGGTCTTCCCAATGTGTTTAAATGACTTCTCCACAAATTCACGGACGCTATGGACCTCCCCAGTGGCTATGACAAAGTCCTCGGGCTCATCCGTTTGCAACATCAGCCACATGGCCTGTGGAAAGACAAACACAGTCAGATTCAGTGCACGCACAAGTGGCCTCTTTGGTACATAATATTACATTACTGCATCTTTGATTTGGAAATAACTACACATGCACGCACATACTCCAAGCTGGAGAAATTAGCACTTTCCTAACATGGTGGCTATTAACCAGCTCAGTGCAACTCTGAAAAGAGTTCTATTATTTCTTATGACAGAAAGCAATGCTGTATTTGATTTTCAATTTGTTTCACAGCAGGGATTTCTGCAGAGGAGACTTTAATATGTTTACTTTTGAACACTGAGACTTCTTTTAGTGCTCAAGAGCATGGATTCATTTGCTTGAAACACTGCATGAATTGACATAGATACGGGAAAAAGATCCAGAGTGCTGTTTTCTGTCTGCTATAGAAGGATGTCAAACACATTGAATCATGAAAACATGTATACTTTGGGCTCCTTTCTTCTGTCACACTTATTTTGGTTAATTTAGACTAAGTTAGGATTTTAATTGTGCAATTAAAAAGGTAACTAAGAATAGTCAGAGGTGTATTTGACCAAATTAATCTGTTTTTTCATGCTGAATATGTGCTAAATGTTACATATTAAAGCATTGCAGCAGAAACTTTTTCTTCTGACATAGGAACACAGAAAACACTAGTAGAAAAGTAAGACAACTATTAACATCGCTTTTAGGGAGCCGTTTTTGCAGGGACGAAAATCACAATAGGTTTTGAAGTGAAACTTCATGGGTTTGTCATCACATTTGCATTTCAGGGGAGCAAGTTTACTTCCCACAGCACCGTCTTTCACAGACTCCCCTCCCACAAACAAGTAAGGATGGATGAGCACCACCCTCAGAGGGCTGACCAGCTAAGCCAGCATGAAAGCAGAAAAGCAGATGGAAAAAGAGGCACACAATGACACGTGTGACTTGTCTGAGGGATCACGACAGGTACATTTCAGTTTTCTGATGTACAAGCTGCTGCTCTAGTGACTGGACTATTTGACTGCCTAGGAGCTGTAGGTGGACAGAATAATTATTCTTTCAGATCAATCAAAATGATGTAAACACTTCATTTCCTTTGGAGAGGAAAAGGGAATACCTGTATGCCATGATCCTCATTTAATAAATAACCAGAAAAGGAAAACAAAATAATTCAACTTTCTCTCCATATGGTAAAAAGGACTGTCATCTTCTCACAGCGTAAGCCACAATGCTATTTGCATTGACCTCTTCACATCAGCTTTAAAGAAAACAACTTTAGTAGGTCCCTTGATGGTAGTGGATACTCTGCAAATCAGATTAATAAAAGCTTTGGGACAGCTCAGTTTCTCTTGGTAAATACCACCTGAAAAATTCAATTTCCCCCCCCACCCATTCTTAATAAATCAGTGTCCAGCATAGCAAAGCAATAGATTCCACTTAAATGGTCCTATTTGCAAGTAATTTTTCTTCCCAGTTATTATTTTACGCATCTTCCAAAGTTTTGACAAGATTTTATTAACATGTTCCTTTTGAACCTTTTTGCTTCTTGAATGTGTGTGGAAGGCTGGGTTTTGGGCAACTGCTGTGTAAGTCCTTGACATGAATTGTGCTTTAGGGATATGACCTGCTGGGCAGGACAATGGCAGCAACTTTATTTTTCCTTTCCAGAGTTGAAGATCCTAGCCAATGACGCAGAAATACCCGACTGGCTGATGAAACTCCTCTCGTGGGGAGGAGATGTCTTAACTTGTATCTCTCATCTGAGCTTTCTTGGAACATTGGGCTTTCCCTGCTGATTTGAGAGGTCACCGTAAATCAACAACTCCTGTTTCTTTGTGACAGGGCAAGCTTGCAGGATTTACAGCAGTAGCAGCTTCGCAGAAAGGTAAAAGGAATATCTAAAATAAGTAATTGATAGTTCTGGTTCTCCTAGCTTAATGCCTGTTTTCACAGACCTTCAGCTTTCATTAAGCAGTCCAGCTGAACACAACAGGCTTCCTCATATGAGAAGGCACTATTTGAGTGAGTAAGGATTCTCAGGATGAGACAGTGTTAGAATTTATAGCAGTTTCCCTCCTCACTTTAGGGGATGTTTGCTGTACATAATAAATTCAAGGTCTTGCCATTTTCCTTTGAAACGTACAGCGTGCTGTAGTGTCAGCTACACCTGACAGAGATGTAACAACCACACCTCACTTGTTGGTAAAAATCACCACCCACTCCCAAATGCCATGTAGGTTGACTGACTATGCAATATTAGCATGAGGGCCTACTATTTACTAAGTAATTTGTAAAGTAGTGTTAATATGTCTAAGTAGAAGCAGGATCAGATTTATGATAATTTTTTGCTATCCCTCCACTTGTAAACACCTCAGTATTGTAATTCACTGGGCACAACTTCAGTGCAGGTTCTTATGCTGAGACATTCAACAATCCAGTGAGTATTTAAAGTATTTGCACATTAATTTTATGTATTAATATGAAATAGCATTGGAAGTTTGTTCTAAAGAAGAATGTTGTAAAGCATGCACTACATTGAAGGAGACAGCTAGAAAATACTAACAAAAACCCCAGCCTTTGACAATTGGTCCCACCAAGTTTTATACATTTGGATGTATCAACCCTTGTCCACCATTTCAAAAGAGCAGGCAAACACTGCCTTCGATATTTAACTTAAACTGCAGTAAATTTCTACAGGACCAGCTTAGCAATAATCAAGCCATGCAGATAGAATTGCTAAAAGCAATTTTTGCCTCAACTCCTACTAGGAAAGAATGTTTAGATTAATGATTACTTGATAATCTATCACTGCTGGTTCTTTTATTTTTCCTGGCATTCACAATTGTTGGCACTTAGAGTTGCCTCAATCAAATCAGGTATGAAAAAAATGAACATGCTAAAAATTACAAACAAAGTAAGGCGATAGTTCTGTTTTGCTTCGAGGAAGGCGACCAAATGCTGTTGCTCTGAATAGGTCTGCATGAATAGCCTGTAAAAAAACACAGAGGCAAGCCAGAAGATAGAAAAATCCTCGAATAAGCTCCGCATTCATATCTTCATTTCCACAGGTACAGCCCGTGAAGACCAATGAGAAATCTGGTACAAGCAGTAGCTATATGCTTTCCATACAGCATACGCCAGGAATGTGCTTCCCCCCACATCAGACTAATAAAGGCCCTTGACCTATCGATTTCTAGGCATTTCCTTTAAGAGTTCATATTGTACCAGACTCTGGGCTGAGAATGAGAGGAAAGGGGGAGATACAGCTCCAGGTTTATTTGTCATTACTGAATAGCTTACTGGTTTTAACAGAGGGGAAAAGCTGTGTTTAAATTTCCACTGAAAGTAATTAATGGTTATTGACTGGCAAATGAAGAACAGGTGACACTCTGAATTAGAAGATAAATGATCTCATGTTCTAGCGTGATAATGGGTCAGTAATTGCTACAAAGCCTCAGCCTAGTGCGTCCCATCATAATGCTAGATCATGTCCAGAACACAAAGGCCTCTGTGTGAGAGGTATTCAGCCGTTCACCTCCCGATACAGCTGCAGCAGAGTGATTTGCTCCATTTATTCTCTGATGGACTGCACAACTGAGGCAAAAGTTCAGCCATTCTCACCTTCCTGTTCACATGCTGAACCACATGACCCATGACATGGCCGAACTGGGATGAAAACATTGCCCAGCTTTGGCTCTTGGCTATCTTTTAACCATCGCAAGGTCATATATTTTAGGAATTTTTCTGGTCCAGGACCAGAGAATCGTGGATTTTCCTGTCTTTCTTTGTAAAGGCTTTTATGGATGGGCTGACAACAAGTAAAGAATTTACTTGTGTTCATTTCTACCACCCTCTCCCTAATTTTTTCCTCGATCCAGTTAATAAAATGTGGGCAAAAGTTGAAAAGAAGGAGGAAACCACTATGGAAATAATTTGGGCTTCAGCTATTAGAATAAGACTGTTCCTTTAATGGCAAATATAACAAAACGTATTTTTCGTATTTGAACTCTCTTTGGCTCTGGTCTAGTGACTCACAAAGTCTAAAGGCAATACTATATCATTTACATATAAAGACAGAAACCTAACCAGAGAGAGATACATAGCAAGTGGATACACTTTTATGATTATGTAGACTAGGATATCTGTTCTGCATGCCTGAACTACAGCCTCTGCCAAAATCCGTTTGCTTTCATCTTTTCCCTCTTCCCTTTTCTGTATATAAACCCCTGCCAGTAGTAAGCACCATTTTCAGGCAACATATCCAAAACATGAGCCAGTCTTTTCCCTGCCCGAATTTCTTTGCTTACATAGTATTTGCACCTGGGCTAGTGAAGAGAAAAATCCAGGCTGGATTAACACAACTGTACAGGTACATTCTGTGCATGCCACTGCCATTATGGTTGTGATGCGTCTGCATGTCTCAAGCATCTGCAGTATGTTGTAGATGTGTTTCACCATTAACTTCCAGTCCAGCATCCCAGTGAAAAGACATTTATTAACTGGGCTGTCATCCATGGATAACAAAAACTCAGTAGCTGAGGTTATGTTTAACTCTATATGTTTGACACTTTTCTTTCCCTGTCTGCTCTAGCGCTGTATATTGTTAAAACGAGCTTGTAACCAGGCATTTGCCTATTTAAGAGAAAAAAGAAACACAAATCCAACTTCCTGAGACTTAAAAGTACAGCAGATGATTTCTGCTCTAGAAATAAAAGATGATTTGTCAAGAGAATGAGTAAAGCCTTTTCTTATGCCTCATCCAATGCAAGACCCAAACCAGATATGACTGAACAGACACATCATGTTCCTGTTGGCACTAATTACTTGTGCCCTGCACTGCTACATAGCATTTTTCACAAGCCCTATACTGTAAAAAAAATTAAAATCGTCTGCACATGTTTCTAGATATCACGCAGAAAACTTCTGACTTCTTTGTATTTGTCACACGCACATGAAAAAAATCAAACCAAATCAGTAATGTTTACTTTAGGCGATGGAGCAGATAGTTGTAGCCTGATGCAGG